GCTGGGACTATATCCTAAGAATCCTAAGATACCAATCCAAAAGAACCTATGCACACCAATGTTCATGGCAGCACAATTTACAGTAGCCAAGAGTTAGAAGCAACCTAGGTGCCCATCAGTAAATGAATGGATCAAAAAACTATGGTACATATACACAATGGAATTCTATACAGAAGAAAGAAGGAGCTCCTACCCTTTGCAACAGAATGGATGGAACTGGAAAACATGCTGAGTGAAATAAGCCAGGTGTTGAAAGACAAATACCGTATGATCTCACCTTTAACAGGAAGCTAAACAAGAAAACAAACAAGCAAGCAAAATATAACCAAAGACACTTAAATAGAGAACAGCCTGACAGAGGGGAGAGGGGAGGGAATTTCAGGGGAAAAGGGAAAGGATTTACAGGAACAAGTAAGTATAAAGGACACATGGACAAAAAGTAAGGGGGATTGAAATGGGAAGGAGGTAGGGAGCACTGGGGGGTGGGCTGGGATGGGAGTAAAAGACAGAAAACTGTATTTGAACAATAATTAAATTAAAAAATAGATGAGGAAAGATAAAAATGGTATAGGAAACAGAGGACTCAAAGAATTTATATGTATGACCCATGGACATGAACTAAGCAGGGGGATATTGGAGGGTTTGGGGTAGGGTAGAGGGGGGATAAAGGGGGAAAATTAGAAAAACTGTAATAGCATAATCAATAAAAAATACTTTAAAAAAAAGCTCACTATGTGTATTAACACAGTAAAGGCTCTAAAACACCCAGTAGTAAAGAAACCTGTTCAGTTGTTTAGCCTGGTATTCCACAGTCTTAACTGGAGAGGTTTTTCCTTCTGAGGTTTTAAAATAATGCTCCCACACTGATGACTCTTCCAGAGTGGGCAGTAATCACTCTAACCACTCTTTTCCTCCCTCTTTTTTCCCAGCACATCTTGGTAATTTAACACCATCATACGATAATCTGTGCTTTCGTTACTTATAGGAACAAAAATATTTGCCTTGAACTCAGTTACCAAAATACTTCAATGTTAGAATTTCAGAAGCATTAACACTTGTCGAACTGTAGTGTCTTACAGCTTAGGAAATACACATGACCACAGTTACGCCTTGCAATAATCCTAGCTTTCTCAAAGTGAGACTGAAGCCAAATTAATTGCTCTTCCCTAATGAGTCAGTGCCACAAATGGACTGTGCCAGGATTTGCACCGCTGAGATGCCCCCCTTTCCAAAGCTCAGAGTTTTACCTTTCACACTTCTACCTCTTTACAGTAGTGTGGAGGTGCTGCTTTTGGACAAAGTGGGAAATTTGCATACAACTCTCAGCAAAGGTTACCAGAATTCACGTCTCTCTCACAGGACAGCAGGATTGTCAACTAAATATTAGCCAACAACCCGCTCTTGCTCTCCAAAGGGAACTCTAACTGTGGGATATTGTAACAAATACTCTTCTAATCAGATATGTAATCCTGAATTGAATCAATATCATACTTTGAAAGAGAGGATTTTAAATAAGAAAGAGATACCACCCACAAAGACAGAAATATCTACTGAGGTTATTCTAATCACCTAACGATTTCATTCCCACTCTAAAATCAAAAGGATAAAAATCTCACTTCTAAAAAACTTATCGAAGAAAACAATCCTGGAGAGGGTTAAGCTTTAAAAGCTACACGTGGAAATCTGAGAAAGCTTCCTTTTAAGAAAACATGTCAGGCACCCCAAAAGGCACCCCACAAATCCACATCTCACCCACCAATGGCTCAAGCATAAAACAGAACAACTGAGGCCCAGTGCGGCCCCTCCCAGATCTGTCTCCCTCTCCCCAGAGGTAACCGCTCTCCTGAATGTGGTGTTTGCCTTTCCCACAAGTATGAATCTACAAACAATATAGTATGATTGTTTTCGCATGCTTAGCTTGCAAATTTAATTTTGTATATTCTTTCATTACACACTTCAAAAGTACAAAAGGATACACAGTGAAATGTCTCCCTGTGACCTAGTTCCCCTCCCCTGAACAACTAATTTAAGTTTCATTTGTATCTTTAAAGAGACACTCTATACAGGAGCAAGTATTTATACTTATATACATAGTTGCCCTTCTTTTTTCCATAAACAGAAGATACACTATATATATTGTTCTATTACCCCCTTAGTTTTCCTCTTAAAACATATAGCTTGGAAGCTGTTTCTTAAATTATATAGCTTCTTGCTTTTTTTTTCATTTTTGCAAGGCATATCACTATATGAATAAACCATAATGTAATGATAAACCTATTAGAAAGCTACTTCCAGTCTTTTACAAACAATATGGCAATGAAAAATAACGCCTTATTTCCACATACAGGAATATATAGAATAAATTCCTAGAAGTTGAATTACTGGGTTAATTTTAATAAATACTGTCACACTCTGGTAACAGGAGTGGGGGCACTTGGAGTAACAAAACACAAATCAAGCACAATTCCAAATTAACCCTATTTTCTGTTTAAACTTTCCCCTCAAAATGCTACCATTAAGTTACCAAAGGATTTTTTTAGCCTGTAACAGGAAACAAAATAATCATGATAAATTCACAGTTCCCTCATAGATTCCTTGTCTATGTTGATTTCACCAGTGTGTTTAACTAACTTTAAAAGCTCTTTCTACTCCAAATTATCTCCATTGAAATATATGGCTAAGCATATTATATGTAAGAATTCTTGTCAAATTAAGGCTAGCGTACGTTGCCGGTATCACCACTAGGGGAGCTATTGTTGCCTGTTCACTGAGCATCTATCTCCCTCTTTCTCCCAATACCCATTTCTGTCTAGGTGTCTACCCTGTCCCCCTTCATTATCCAATTACTTCAGAAAAAGGTTCCCCTCCCCCACCCACCACACACATACACATACACATACACACATACACACATCCAAGAGTGGCCATATCCCTCCAAGGGCAATTCCACTTCCCTTGCTAGTGCCTAGCTAGGAGCCAAAGCCTAAGCCAGTTGGCACAGGGCATCCCTGGCCAGAGGGACTGGATGAGCCAATGAGATTCATGAGAGGAACACCAACATTCTCTCCAGAAAGAATTACAGAAAGAGACATTCTTGGGTAGGTTGAGCTGAATTCTCTATTGGGGCAAAAAGCACCCCAACTGTTTAACAACTTAAAAATGCACTGGTTAAGGATTTTGGGCAACACCTACTAATGTATTTATGAATAAGCTGAGCCGTCCCTATGAAACCTAGGATCCTCTGGCTAAGACTGGCCCTCGTACACTTGATGAAGACATTAGCTTGGACAGTGAGGCCCAAGTGGAGGAGTGAAGGGCGAGGAACAGCAAGTCACCGTGCTCACGTCACAACTGCATTATGGACCAAATCCGGGAAACTAAAACATTTCCTTTGCGGTGCCAAAAGCCACCTAGCAAATTAAAAATAAAAATAAAAAAAGAGATCTGACTGTGGTCAGGTCTCAGGTCTCTACTAGGAGAATGTGCACCCTGACCCAAGCGGAGCTGTGCAGGGGGTGAAGGCGTCAGCACTGCCACCACTACTGGGGGGCTGGGGGAGGGATAAATGAGCTTTTCTTACCAGTACTTGTAAACTAAGAGCAATCTGCAATTGCTAACAAGCAAAGAGACAGCACACCAAAATAGACAAATAACCTCGGGAACGCAACCATCTCATGACCTAATACAGACCCACCCTAATGGATGCTATCACCCTATTCTGCCATTTGCTTCTTGCTTTCTTAAACCGTTGGCCTTGCTCATTTTCATAAGAAAGTTTCAACAGTTGCTTCCCTGTGGGGCTATACAGCAATTTTTCAGTTCTGTGACTGAGAAAGGACAAAAGAAGGAAGAGTTCTCCTCTTCCATCCCCAGATAAAATCAGAAAGTGTTTCTTTAACTCTAGTAGAACAAAGCTCAGTTAATTAATTCACTGTACAGACTTTCGCAAACTTTTCCTTCTTTCCAGTCAAATATTACCTGCAAGTCACAGGAAAGCCGATGCATGAATTCTTGTCAGTTTCATACTTTTTTTCCCTCTGCCTCCCTGATAACAAAGTCAAATGTTTTAAAGACAAAAACTATGCCCCACGAAGTTTTCAACTAAACTTCTTGAGCCTGAATTGGTGGACCGATGGACAACTTTGTTATTTCCAGAATACTGTTTGAAACACAACAGTAGGAGAATGCACACACTTTTCTTTTAAAAAAAAAAAAGGTTCAAATGATGCGCACTGAACAGCGTATTAAAACATGCATGCCCTGTGCAAACAGATGGAAGGACCTGCACTAAAGATCCGGCCAGCACCATCTGCAGGCAACATCCGCACTAAGGCCAGGCTCGGGCTCGGCGCAGGGACTGCACGCTGTTCCCTCGGAAACACTGAAGGCGAGTCTGCGTTCAGAGCAGAAACCCGGCACCGCAAACGCAGGACCAGTTTATTGTGCATCGAGTCCTCAGAAAAATAATTAGTCACCCTTTCCGACGGGATGGCCATTTTTTTTTTTTTTCAGTTCTGTGAGCCACCCCCACAGCAACCCGACTTTCGGGGGAACGCTGTTCACACTGGAGAATCGGCCGGAGCAGGTTCGCCGCCAGCCCCCCGAACCGGACGGAAACACGGACAATGCCGGGGAAGCGGTGGGCTGGCCCCGAGCGAGCGAGCACCGCCGGGGCGAACCGGGGACGAACCGGGGGCGAACCGGAGCGGCCCGCGAGCCCCCGCCCGCACCCGGGAAAGTTCGCCCCGCCGCGTCCCCGCCCCTCGCGCGGGCGAGCCCCCGGCCGCGGCGCCGTCGCCATGGCGACCGGCCCCCACCCACCCCCGCCGGCCCCTGAGGCCCCGGCCGGCCGCGGCCTCGGGCTCCGCGCCCGCCGGACGCCGCGGCGGGGCTGTCGAGCCCGGGGACGCGGGACGCGGGGGGCGTGGGGGCCGGAGCGCCGCGCGGAGCGGAAGTCGCCGCGTCGGGGCCGCCGCCCGGCCTCGCCCCGGGGTCCTCACCCTTCACTTTGCCGAAGGTGCCGACCCCCAGCGTGTCGCCCAGGATGTAGTGGCCGATCTTCCCCCGCCCGTCGTGTTTCTGCTTCTCGGCCGTCGCCATCTTCCTCCAGGAACTGAGCCTGCGCATGGCGCCGCGGGCGGGGGCGGCGGGGGCGGAGGGGGCGGGAGGGCCGCGCCGGGGCGGGCGGGGTGCGGGACGCGGGAGGGGCGGCCGCCGCCCAGCGCAGCCCGCCGAGGCCCCGCCGCCGCCGCGCCGACGCTCCCCCTGGCGGGGCGGGAACCGTCTCCCGCGCCCGCCCGCCCCGCCGCCGCGCGCGGCGCCCGCCCACCTGCCCGCGGGGCGGCCGTCCCGCCCCCACCGGGCTCCTTCCCTCTGCCCGCCGGGGTCCCCCCGCCGACTCGGCGGAGTCGGGGCCGCTCCGCGGCCGGTTCCCAGAGCGGCCGGCACCGAAACGTGGTGCGGCCGCCGCCCGGCCTCTGCGGCTCCCTGCGCGGGTGGGATCCCGCGGCCACGGGCGGTTGTCAGTTACTTCAGTGACGAGTCCCCCACCCCCTCCGGCCGCTCTTTTTTTCCCAATTCTTTAATTTTTTTTATTTTTTTACTTGGAGCCGGTAAGTTGCCCCTGGGCACCGCGACAGCCGGGCGGCGTCGTGGGGCCTCCTCCCCCAGCGGGCTCTGCGGGGAGGACTAGGTTGGGCGTGTGTGTACGTGTGTTTCAAGGACGGGGTGTCACCGGCACATTTGGGTGCATGGGAACTGTGTTTCAGATGGCCGTTAACATGCAGACTGTCAGAGAACTGAAAATAACGCTTCCACTTGCACCCACCAAATCAGTCGACAGTTGGGTTTTTTTATGTCAGTAAAAAGGAGCGGCATTTAAACTATATTTTAATGAGAACACTTCCTCACCATCTGTAAATAAAAATGACTTGCACTTTCCGATCTGAAACAGCCCTGGCACTAAGGCTTACTTGCTTCCTGGTCCAGGGGCTCGGATGCCACCCCACGAACCCCCCGGGCTCTGAGGCACGTGTGGGCAGGTCCTCCTTGTGGCAGCTCCGGGGCTGGGATCAAGTGTTTGACCACTTTCGGTTGTGCATTCACTGAAGGGGTGTTCCTGTGAACCTGAGAATGTGCTTTTCCTAATCCAAGCATCTTTATTACATCTTTTTCCCAATACGGACATCTTGTGGTATATTTTATTCTGGTAACAATACGCAGTTGATGAGGGTACCGTAGATCCCCACCGTATTTCTGGTGATCTACAGGTAAAGGCTGAAACAGAAGGCTTATCTGAATTCTTGGTAAATTTATAACGAATCTGTTGTGTACAAACAAGAGACCCCACACACTCTGCCACAGTCTGTAATGTGCCTGGGGGGCCTCTGGACTACCGAACCAAAATCCAGGCTGCAACGTGATGACTGTCCTCCGCAGAGACTGCCGACAGGAAGCCAAAGAAGAGGAGAGGACAAATATTTATTGTGCTTGAAGAGTAAGATCTGGGCTACTACCTATACAAATGGCATCGTGCTGTGTCACAGGGGAAGCAGAGTATACTTATTTTTAATATACTTTCTTTGTAAACAGAAGGAATTTTAAGTGAGTTTGTTTCTCAACGTGGGCAGAATCTAGTGCTCAAAAAAACCCCAAAACTTTATATGATCCTAATTTTGCAGTGTCATAGCATTTGGGCCAGTGTCAATGGGCAGAGTTTGACTCTTCATGAAAATAATATAAAAAAGTAAAAGACTAAAAGTTATTTTTTCCAATGAAAGTTACCAAACTGTCGTAACTTGTACAGGGTTTTTATTTATGAAATCAATGTGCATTAATTACCGCTTTGTTCCAAGCCAGGTTCTGCAGAGGAAGCAAAAGCCTTGGAGCTCAGAATTACATAAAATAAGCAGAGCAAAGGTACAGCTGTCCTTGGAGAGCACATCGGCTCCTGCTTTATTAAGGACTGCTTGCATTTTGAAGGGCCAAACTGTTAAGAACTCTGGTTACTGAGATATGTAGGCGGGGCAACGGTTACTGGTGTTATTTTTGCTTTCTGGTTTCTTCACCTTCACTGAGTTCCTGCCCCTCAGACTTTGGGGGTCTCTACCAAGCAGAAATAGCTCTCTGGATTCTCTTAAAGGGTAAAACAAAACTTAAATTTCCTCCCACCCACATAAATAAATTACTTTAAATATGTATCTGTTCTTTTAACCTAAAAGAAAAAAAAAATTGCAGGGTTCCTCAGCTCTGCACAGTTCCAGGAAAGCCAGAGAGCATCTTACAGGGGAACAAACAGAAGCTGAATTTCGCAAATCCACTGCCAATCTCTTCCTGCAACTGTGAAGACCTGACTCAGAAAGTAACATAAACTTTTTTTCTATAGCAGAAATATCAGGTTGCTTTTCTGCTTTGGGGTTATTTTACATTATAATTCTATTCAATAAGTATTTATTAAATGCCACAATTCACTCAAAAGTATTGCTAGAGAAATAAAACCTAAAATCATAGGTCAAAGAACTGACTCATAATTTAGAAATCATCTTTTCCAGTCTCCCATAGTCTAAGCAGCTTATAATGCTGTTTTTTCTCACCCTGTTAAAAAAGGGATGTTTCTAAGAAAGCAAGTAAGAAAAGTAATAAGCCTTGTTTTATTTGTATGCTTTTCCTCTTTCCTTCATTCCTCTTTCAAAGTGTCACATTTCTTCCACTCTCTTTCGTTTATTTTCCCATTGACCCATTCCCCAGACCCTCACTTCCAGGCTCTGATAACTACCAGACACTGAAGACAGATACAAAATGACAAGTCACATTCCCTGCTCTGAAGGAGCTTCTAATCTAGGATTCTAAATTCCCTCCTCACTCCTCCCAGAATAGATACTATTCACATGATCAACCTCTTCCAGCAAAAATGCAAAGATAAGATAGACTGTGGCTCCCACCCAGTTTCTGGACCCACTGTTCTAACTCCGCCCCTATCAAAGAAAGTAACTTGGAATATCAGTGGGTTGGAGTGGCACTATAGAAGTAGCCTTGAAAGCACTGTAGTTCAAGGCAAGGGAGAAAAGTACTTGTTTTCAGACTTCAGTACTTCATCTTTTATTAGTACAAGTAAGTCACTGTACATTTCAGAGCTGATGAAGACATACCAGGATGACCCAGCACTGGGGGAGACTCAGCAGTGCTTGTCAGCTGCTTCCTCTGTAGCCCTTCAGAAATTCTAAGGGAGCTGAGGCCTTTTCCTCTCAAAGACATCATGGTGTTATGTTAGTACACCCGACGCTGTCAGGTGGACATTATGCTTCCTCAATGTCTTCCTCTAAATACGGTCGTCAGAGGTAAAAATTCTGAGCACTCCACTGCTATTAATGCAGCCCAATATTCCTTAGCTTAGTCGTAGTTACACTGTAATATTCAGTATTAAACAAAAAACTAGGTAGATATTAGGCAGTTTGCTAGGACTCAGAAAACAAAGGAACAGTATCTGCCTGCAACAGGTCATAGCAATATGGTCATAGCAATGTGATAGATGCTACAATAAAAACACATCTGGCTGGTGTAGCTCAGTGGATTGAGCACCAGCCTGCAAACAAACAGGGTTGCTGGTTGGTTTTCCAGTCAGGACTCATGCCTGGGTTGTGGGCCAGGTCCCCAGTAGGGGGCGTGTGAGAGGCAACCACACACTGTTGTTTCCCTTCCTCTCTCCCTCCCCCTCTAAAATAAATACATAAAATCTCAAAAAACATACACATAAATGGCCCTAACAGGATTATGAGAGTGTATAAACTCTAATTGTGGAGTTTCCTTAGGACTTGCACTTATTCATTTAGAGGAGCATTGAGAGATGGTGCTTCGTACTCAAAGCAAAGGGTGGCAGCCATGGGCATGTGGGAACTTGGGGGAGGCGTCCCACATAGGGGACAAGCATGTGCAGAACCACAGAGGGAAGAAGGCTGGGGCCCTCTAGAGAAGAGCCAGTGGTGACAGGGGTTGAGGTGAGGCCACATTGTAGACTGAATCCTTAACCCTTTAGCTTTAACTCGATCCCCAGGTAGATAACGTAAGAATTGAGTTGAATTATAAGACACCCTGCTAGTGTCTGAAAACCGGGTCAAGTTTCAAATCCAGACCCACTTGGATCGGCCTTATAGTGTAACTAACCAAGCTGCACTTAGCCGTGGTCTCAGGTCCTGCACCTGGCCCTGGTCTGGGTGCTTTCAGCGTACTGTTCTGTGTTAACGCAAGTACTTCCCACACTTCCCTCGCAGGGAAGATACCATGATCTCGAAGGTGGTGTTCCCAGGGCAAGGCTTATTCATTGCACTCCGGGTGTGATGACTCCTACAATTTCCCCAAATGTGGGAAACTTAACTGCATAGTTTGTGGTAGTGGGGGGCTGCGATAGTGCTCCCCCCGAATTAAAAAAGCCGCGAATACTTCCACTTTCCTTTCTGGAGCCACAGAAAGGCACCTCCTCCAGGATACAAAAATAAGAACGCTCTTTCGGAGTTAGACAAGTTTGTGCAGGCCATCAGGAGTATCCTGCCTGTTTGACAGATTTTTGACCAATTGGCAAGCCTTTTTGCAAACAATTCTTAATTATCTGGGAGTACATTAATTATGGGAGCAGGCAGAGTGCATGCTGTGGTGGTAAAGTTGAACTGGTGGAGAAAGTATGACCTTTGCACTGAACTTGAGCTCCCGTGGTGTGGTAGGAATCCCAGGAACATGCTTTCTCTGCTCTCTGCCTTTCAACTGAATCTGCACCAAGTAGCTGAGGAGCCTCAATTGGGGATAATCCCCAAATGCTTAATCCACCCAGGCGCGGACAGTAAGTTGACTGCTTTTTGTGCTCACTTTGATGTTGTTTGGGAGGGTGTTTGTTTGGCTGGGTTTGTTTTTTTTGTTTTTTTTTTTTTCATTTATCTTTCGAGGGGAAGGGAAGGAGAGAGAAAGAAATATCAACGTGTGGTTGCTTCTCATGAGTCCCCTGCTGGGAACTGGCTTGCAACCCAGGCATGTGCCCTGAATGGGAATCAAACCGTGATCATGGGGTTCGCAGGCCCACACTCAACCCACTGAGCTACACCAGCCAGGGCTGGGATTGTTGTTAGTGTTGTTGTTGTTTGCAAGGGGGGAGGGGCAATAATGGCTTTAAGTGCCCAACAGAGACTAAATCTAAAATTAGGACATTTTAGTACCATTACTTGCAGCCTACACATGCCTTTCGTTGTAAGACTAACCTGTGTGAAGTGTGTTGAGTGACCAAAGTGGGCACGGGGGAGGGTGGGGTGCATGGAGGAGGAGGATCATCAGAGGAAGGAGTGGGGTTAGACATGGCCTTTGAAGTGCTCGTCCTAAATTACCTGTTAAAGCAGCTAAAGGCCCCAACAAGACTGTTTAACTGTGTAGGTTACTCAGCTCTTACTGACACAGCCACCTCCAAGGTCCCATTCCAGGTCCTCTGGAAGTAATACCGCCTTCTTACCTGGCTCTCCAAAGCTCATTCTTGAAAGCTCATTAGCACCTTCCAGGGTCCAAAGGATGAGGGAGAAGCCAGAGAGCTGCTCACTCTAAGAGCTCACTTCCAAAGGCTTTCCCCCAAGCCTCTTCCAGCCCCGTGGTTTCTGTGAAGCAAAGCAGAGGTCGATACCCTACTCTGGGGGCACGGAGCAGTCATGGGGCTTTTCCAGTTCACGGTAACTGCAGATGAGACTCTGGGGTCACGTAACTGCATGCCCTGAGCCCAGAGCAGCCGTTAGGTGAACTGCTAGTGACAGCGCTGCAGAGAAGGCTGAGGCTGGCCCCCAGATGAGGCCAGCCCAGCGCCTCTGCAGCACACTTACCCAGGAGCCCCAAAGCAGATTTTATCGAGCTCCTGTAACCAGTCCCTCAAGCTGCAGGGACTGTTTGGAAGAAATTAGAAAGCAGATATTGAAAGCTTTCTTTGAAATGCACAGAGGGGTCTGAGTTATTTGGATGGCTTTTTGGGGGTGAGGCTGAATATTTTTCTATAATTAACAGTAAGGAAAAACATGAACTGTCTGTGAAGGCATTTTACCCTTAGCAAAGTCATCTTGACCAGCTCTGTTCCCCAAAGGGAAAACTTGAACTGTTTACACATTAATGTCACTGGGAGGGGTCAACCTAGGAAATGGAGACTTGTCCTCCCACAGGGGCCTGCGGCTCAGGGAATTATGGGAGAATGTCAGAACTGGGAGCTTAAGTCTCATTTCATAGTGGAGGAAACTGAGACCAGAGAGACCTCCTCCTTCACCTTGGGGAAGCTAGACCAGTCTCCAACACCCTGTTTTATCAGTGTAAAAAAAAGGGAGAGGAAAAAGGCCTGCCCTGGCCTGGTAGGTCCGTTGGTGACACTGTCATGTGCCAAGGTGTGCTGCATCCCCAGTCAGGGCACGCACAAAAATCAATCACTGAGTGCATAAATAAGTGGAACAACAAACGGGTGCTTTTCTTTTTCTCCATCTCCCTCCTTCCACTCTCTAAAATCAATTATAAATTTAAAAAAATGAAAAGACCTTTCCTTTAAAGGATTCATTAATTTTTCTCCACATATTAACACTCAGGAGTTCAAATCATTTTAGACATTTTGGAGAGCAAAGCTAATAGTTTTTACACTTGCTAGATATTTGCAGAGCTATATTAAGTGTCACATTCTATCAGAATATGGCTTTTCTTGCCCCCGGGAACTACCAGCTTCCACACATACACACAAAATGTATCCAAGAAACTGGTCACAGCTTTTACAATCCTCGGCCCAATCAAGGACACAGATGTCCAAAAAGGGAGAGATGGGTAAAGTTGAAGAATGTTTTATTCAACCCAACCTTCTTGGAAAGGAGGGTTGATACATTCATAGCACTAAACCTGGCCAGGGAAACATCAAAGGAACCCCTCAGGGATCTTTGAAATGTGTTTTCTGCCGCTGCCATGAGATCTGCTTGCACTTGAGAATGTGTGCAGGCCGGGGTGGAGAGTCACCCGTGGGCCCCTCGGAGAGGCAGCGTGGGATAGTTTTGGACCCCACAACATGATGCTCAGAGAAAACCTCCGAAGAGGCCGGATTCCCAGGGCTAAGAAGGAATCCCGTAAGACTCTTTCAAACTGAGATGAACTACAGGAGAAATAACCTCTGAAAACATCACAGCAGTGGCCTGAGAGAAAAAAATAAGGTTAATCATCTGCAGGGTCCAGCCGAGGAAGCACCCCCCACTCCCTCAGCCCTGGTCCCTCCTCCCATCTACCTGTCAGCCCCCCTGAGAAGTGAACCTGCAGCTCAGCAGCCCCAGGGCAGCTGTGAGGAAGCTGGGATGAGCCACCGCCCTCTCCACTGCAGCTTCCAGCCCAAAGAAGTCCCAAACTGGGAGGTAAGAGACCAGGGCAAGTCTGCTTTGAGTTCTGACTATTACATAGGACCATTTTTTCTTATTAAAATAAAACTTTCACGACTGATCGTGACAGGAGGATATTTCTTACTATGTGTGAGTGGTCTAAAACCACGAGGCTGAGACCAAGTCCTCACCGCCAGGCACTGGAGCCTAGTCAGTCCCACTGAATAAAGGTGCGGGCACAAGAACCAAGTCAGGTTTTCCTCTCAATCCACAGTTCTATAAACCACTTCTGTATGTGAGGAACTGGGTTTCCTTAATAAACTATCCCTCTACCCTACTATACAGAAAGCTTATCAAAATTTTTTTTAAAGATTTTATTTATTTACTTTTGGAGAGTGAAAGGGAGGGAGAAAGACAGAGAAACATCAGTGTGTGAGAGATACATCAATCCATTCATTGGCTGCCTTGCCCCCTGATGGGGACCTGGCCTGCAACCCAGGCATGTGCCCTGACCGGGAATCGAACCACTGACCTTTCCGTTCACAGGCTGGACTCTATCCACTGAGCCACACACCAGCCAGTACCAGAAAGCTTTTGCTTGATTCCATTCTTGGCTCCTTAGGTTACTGATAGCCTCCGCCCTGTGCTTCTTTTAGATTATGATTCAAACTACGTTTTCTTCTTCTGAGAAATAATAAAAAAAAACTAAACTAAATATAATCCCTATGTACTAATGTGTAAGCCTTCTCTGAAGCCAGTTCTTAAATAAAAACAATTCCATAGTGCAGTACTTTCCTTTTCTTTAACATACGATACTACAGTTTCAGCTAACTACAGCCAAGACTAACTTCTGCAACCAACCCGGAACTCAGCCAAGGCCGAGTGCAGGGTCTCCTGAACGGCCGTCCTTGTTTTCACAGGAGTGGCTCCTTATGTTTTGCTCCCCTCTTCCCTCCCGCCCCTTCACTGATCTGAGAGGACTGGAGGCAAACACAGAAACATGTTGTTCATCTCAGACACGCATTCATTCCCTGGCTGCTCTGTGTATGTGCCCCAGCTAGGATCGAACCTGCAGCCTTGGCATGTCAGGTCGATGCTGTGAGGAGCCGAGCCGCCCAGCCAGGCCCTCCTGTAGCTTTCCCACCCAACTCTCTGAAGAGGGAGTCTCCACTCCCCAGCACATTCATTGTCTCCGTCTTCACAGCACTTATCGGTGACCGTGATTCTCACTTGTTCACTGTCACACCCAGCACACACCTGTGCACAAGCACAGGCACGCACGACTGAGAGGTGTCGGCTGTGCAGCAGTTACGACCAGAAGCCTCCACTGAAAGAACAAAGGCTTCAAAGGTGCAGTGACCTCACGCCGTACTGGGAGGAACATGCCAGGCTGACCCCCTGCTGACAGGGTACCAGCTTCGGGAAACCCTTTCAAGGATACAAAGGCTCGAATCAGCTCATAGAGGAACAGTGAGAGTCCCTCACCTCTTCTCCACAGAGCAGCTCCTTGAAGAGAAATGCCTTCAAACCACCGCACATAACCACTATGCTCTTACCATGGAATAACAGATTCTGAAGTCTCTATTTTCCAACTTGTTTGTTCTCTGGAATACCCATTACTGACTTAACACAAGACAATCTTGTTTTCTGTTTGGCTACTATGGTGTTATACTAGGTTACTATTTAACAAGTCAGTTTTGGCCTTTTATTATACAAATGAGACAGGTATGTCAAGACCTAAATTATTACCTAAACCCATCTAGATTACAATTCCAGGAATAACTTAAGTCTTTAAATCTTTACAGTGTTCTTAACAGGGCTGTACCAATAACATACAGTGCAGGTGTGTTGTGTGTACATAGACACATCGAAGCTCACTTCCTCATTAAAACGTCTCCATTCCTCGTGGTCCCATCCCCTGCCCCTCTAGCAAGCAGGCTTTTCCCTCCACACTCTACTGAAATGTGGTGCATGGAAAGAACACTAATCTAAATTTTGCCAAATCCCTAAGTCATTTATTTTTTATTTTTAAACTTTAAAATCTCCTTTCTCCTTGGCCTCAGCCACACAGGACTGAGTGCCCCTCAACCACTCCTTCTGCAGCCCCCGAGGTTGACTGTAGACTGTCAACTGCAACTATGTGTCTTTGCCTCCAGTCTCTCTGTTGGCCTGGCACATAGTAGGTGCATCATATGTATTACATTGAACCACTCAGTCTCGCTTATGGCCAGCTCCCTCAATTGTTGAGTCTATTGTTTTCGTTCTGGAGTTTGTGTATTTTCAAATGGTTTCAACAACTATTGAATCAGAGACAGTTAGTGAAGCCGATTAACAATCCTTTTCTCTCACCATCACCGCATCTCCTTTACATTATCTTCACCATTCTAACCCCACAAGGTCAATTCCCTTTCGCAACTGTGTTCATCTGTGCCAAAAGCAGATGCCCAGCCCACTCTCCACTTAACTGCCACATTTACTCAATGCTTCTGGAACTTCCCTCCATGAGTGCACCAACCACCCCCCCTCGCCCTAATCAGAAACCTGCCACCCAAGCTTCACGATCAATCTAAAGCCTGTTGCACAAACAAAATGCAACGTTTGTATGTGACCCCAGAGCCCTCAGCACAGCTTGACACAGAAGGGAAGTGGGGCTTGGAATCTCTTCCCTGATGCAGGTCTCAGATGTTCTCAGCAGGGACCTTCCCGATACTGGCAGCCCCACTGGCCCCGTCTCAGCCCACGTCCTCACGGTTTCCACACGGGATGTTTAAGAATCTGTGGCCTAGCCTTCCAGCTTCAAGCCATCACACCCACACCACCCCCCACGTTATCCTTACTAATGGTAATCATGTAACCGTGGAGCCTGAATGAGGCCATTGCTTCATGACCTGGTTACTGTTACCCCACTCGATTCTTCTCATGCCAACCCCTCCCGTTGCCTGACCTGACAAACCCCAATTTCTGTGACGAAAAGGCCACATCACCAATACAACACACCCAAGTGTTCCTGGGTCTCATTTCAGCTATCCTCTGGAGACACCCATCTGGTCCTCAGTGCCCGAGAAATACAACATCCTTGGCTATTCCCTAAGGTAGCCGAGCTGCAGGCATGGCTTGGGCACACTGGTCACCGTCTCAGTGAACTCGAGTGGCGCGGGTCCGAGGCACCTGTTGTCAGATGAGGGATCCACTGCTTAATGCTCAACTCTGATCCTCAGGACATCAGACCCATAGAACACATGAACTTCTGCAAAGTACCATTAAATGAGCAACCAAATGCACCCGTCTGCACTGCATTTTGAATGTGTTAACCCAGCCCCACCACCTTCCCACTGCTTCTCCCTGGTCTTCAAACCAACTTGACTGTGCTCACTGCACCTTCGCCACTAGGCCTGCGAGCCAGCCCTGACTTACGGGGCAGTTACCACAGTGCCAGAGTAATGTCCCGCTGAAACCCACCTTGTGCCACAGGCCACAGGCACTGGCGAACGTGACTCACCTTAACCCCATTGCAGGCCCTCCTCACTGCACCGCTGCCCATCGCCTTACCCTACTGTGCCAGTTCCTGTTCCTGACCCGGAAGCCAGCAGGTCCATAGGTCTTCAGGTCGGTGCCCATTCGCCACAAAGCCTACCACGAAGTGCACACTGAGTACTACCTATCTCAACGGTCCCCTCTCCATTCAGGACTCTGCCATCAGCACCACTCGGGTTTCAGAAAGATCTGACGAGCAAGTCACAGTTCAGCTCCATCAAGCCAAAACCGTTTCGAATGCTAGGGAGCCCAGTGTAGTTTTAGACACGAGCGGGAGCTTCTGTGCATGTGAATATGCCCCAGACCCGAGGATGAGTCAGGAGTTGAGGGAAAAGCTGGACGAGGGCGAGATCAACCCGAACCTCGGGGAAGCATTCCAAGTGCAGCGTAGGCCAGACTGGAGAGGCGGTGAAGGCCAGAACCCTTGTAAGGCCAGGAGAAGCTAGGAGCAGTCCGGCCACTTTACTCTTCTATGGTGACTGCTTGAACACTCGGGCCCTTTAGCCTTCTGCGCTATTCCTCGGCAGTCGGACAGAGTCGGCCCCGTCTCGTTTCAAAACACTCTTTGGCAATAGGCCTCCAAGACTGGGGAAGCCTGGCAAAGTCCCAGAGCACTTTAACACAGAAAACCCCCACCGCCCGGGGGAGGGCTAAAAATACTCGACCAGGGGGCAATTTATACCGGGCTTTCCTTTACTTCCGACCCGACCCACGGTGTGTGCACTTGTCCCTACAGACTTACACACCCAGCAGGGTGGTCTGGCTTCCCTCCCAAACCTCACACGGCCTGCATGCCAGATGCCAAGCGATGCTGGGGTTAAGTTCAGACAGAATTCATTCGACCCCTACCCTTTATGTTCTCATGGACACTCAAGCCCTTCTGCACAGGACTGACAGCCACTCCCCAAAGCCACACACTACAGCAGAGGAATGTCACTAAAAGGAAGTGATCTATGCTTCCATTTACTCTAACACATTAAATATCCATATGAGCCTCACACACCGTGCTACTTTTCCTCTTACTATATTCTTCACGTCACCTACAGTGCTGTTTGCTTGAAGGAATCCTCGAATTCTGCTTGTTTCTCACCCTCTTAAGCAGTATCCCAACCCAGTGCAGAAGTCAGTGCTGCAAAATCATCGCTTGACAAGTGAACCTGATATTAAGTCATCCTGTTCCCAAACCTCTAGTTCGTTGAGGCTCCAAGTCGACTGAAGACACCTCAGCACACCAGACACTTTGGACACCAGAGCATTTATTGTGGGCTAATCCGTGAATCCTCAAGCTGAGCTGGACGCCGCAACAGCCGCCCTCTTGGGTTTCGGCGTTGTTCCTTCACGGAATCCATGCCTACACCACATCAAAGACAAGAACTGTTACTTCAGCAACCTCAGAGACCTTTTATTGTTTGCTAAAACAGATTTGTAATGAGCTTATCTCAGTTAAATGCTGAAATCAATAATGAATTCATATGTTCAGACATTTATTTTTACAACATCATCGATAAGCTGCAATAGTGTATGTACGCCCTTCCGCTTCAAGGCATCTACTTCAGGAATACTGTTAACTGCACTTGAAAAATAAACTCAACAATGTATTTGGTTTTACTGATCACTGGACTAGTATTTCCCTGCCACCTGTTAAGAGTCCCAAGATTCTTGTGAAAACAGGACCCTTGGCTATGAGGCAGGTATTAACTACTTTCCTTTAAGCAGGGAAAGAAAATGCATGTGTTTAATGGCAGGTAGTTTCTAAACTGCTTGACATGTTTTACAGTCTAACTTAACAGTCACGCCTATTCAAAGGCAAGTGTACTGGGCCATAACCCTTTGGAAGACCCGTGAACTGAGGCCCAGAAAGGCTCTGAACCTCTCCGCTGCACTAGCAGAGCAGTCACGGAGCCACGCCACCAGATGATGGTTTGAAGCTGCAGCACACCAACACAGGCACATCTCAGGGTACCCTCTATGTTCACAAAGCCCTTCTCCTGATCTTTGAAAATTGTAAGATCTGGAACTGAGTGGGGAGCAGCCAGGGGATTCTGCTTAATACCCTGCACTGCACAAAACAGCTGCTCACAACAAAGAACTGCCTATGTTGAGACCTTAGATGGGTTAATGCTTGAAAAGCAGTTCGAGTCTAGGTTGCACCTGAACCCTCTGCTTTTCTAACAAAAGAAGTAAAAGCCGATGTCCCCAAAGCCACAACACTGAAGGTCTGGCTCCAGACCTCACTCACACAATACTGTCCTTTAATAAAATCCAGACTCAATGAATCTGAAGGTTACGGTAGCAGAAAATACCTTCGTACACCCCTTCCTCACTGATCAGGACAGTACCCTTATTTAGCACCAGTAAACGAACAGGATGCTTCTTATCCAAGCTCGTAGGACCTACAGTAACCAAAACACAGATGCTGTACCTGAATCTGCGGTACACGACTTTTAGGTGCCTCATGCGACCCGTTCCGGTGGTGTTTCGTCGTTTAGCCTTGGCACTCCAGTTATCTAAAACACAAAATTCAGGTGAGTGATTTTCCCAGGACACCTGGCAGGCATCATTGGTCCATACAGGTAGGAGCCTCCCTTGGGTTTTCGATGGGCATCCAGGCTCACACCTTCATGGGAGGCACCAAATCACATCCAAAACCAGCCCCCCGGGAGGGATGCCAACAATACCATCCTTGACCTCAAGAGGCATCCCAACACCTAGTCTGCCCAGAAAGAGGTGAACTCACACTTTCTCTTCCGCTTGGCGGGGTAGCCACACTTGCCACAGGTAGACTTCTGCAGGTGGTAGGCCTTCGAGCCACAGCGGCGGCACAGCGTGTGCGTCTTGTTGCGGCGCTTGCCGAATGACGACGTCCCTTTCGTCTGAAAGTTAAGGGGACAAACAATTCTGAAATATAGCAATGAACATCCATTTCATGTACAGAAACTGTGAAAGAGGTACCATTTATGACGGTCACAAGGGCTGAAGTTACTCTTCGGGTGGCCAAAAAGTTTGTGGGGCTTCTCCCCAAACAGTAAGACATTTTTCGTTCTCACCAATGACTTTATTGAGTTGGATATTTTGAATATGTTGGCTCTCTCCCGCTCTTGGCTTCTACTGGGCAGAGACCGGGGTGCTGCTCAACACCTTCCAATGCATAAAACAGCCCCACGGCAAAGAGTTATTTGGCCAAACTGTCAACAGCACAAAGAAACTTTACAAACCACTGCTGACACAGTTAATCAGTCACAGCACCTTCTCCATACACTGCACAAATTTTCTGCATTTCAGCTGTTACCTTGCTTGAAATAAACCACAACACGCCAAAAATGTTATTTTCTTTCATCTTCAATATTAAAATAGCTGTGCAAAAATCAGTAATTTTCATCATTTTTAAATGCACGCTGAAATGACACCTGACACAATACAATCTAACGAAACTGTTTCGAATAAAGTTAAAGAAAACTAAGCACTACTAGAGCCACCAGGATGGGAAAAAAACAAACTTTTTGGCCAACCCAGTTAACTTTTCTTAGCAGTTCATTCAAAAACCACTACCTGCATTTCACATTTATCTAGAGCTTTCCGCAAGTTACCGTGTTTTGCAACCGGCCACATTTTAGGAGGAGAAAGGCGAAAGACGAAATGTGATTCTCCTACCTACCCTTTAACACCTAAGGGCGCCTGCCATGCACCACCGACCAACAAAACTCCTTTTCTACAGAGCGAAGCGCCCTGAAACCAGCTTCTTCCCTTAATTCTCCTCCGAGGGCGGTGCGGACACCAAAGCCCAGACCGCAGCAAGGGGGGTCTAAAGCGGCTCCCGTTCCACGACTGCAGGCTCGGCATCCCAGGTACAGTTAGAGCCATTCTTCGGCTTCGTGAGGGTCAGAACATGTCCCTTCCCTGCCCACCCGCTCCCATTATCGGCAACCTTGCCGGCACCCCCACGGAGGGTGAGGAGCACGGCGCTGGGGACAAGGATGGAGAACGATTCGAACAGCCCCGGCAACAACTCACCATCTCGCTTCTGCCGCGGAGACCAAAGAGACCGGAAAAGAAAGCACTTCCGCTAAATCGCCCTGAGAAGCTTCCGCTCCGGGAGTACTTCCGGCGGGACGCGGTGCAACGTACACAAGTGTCCGTCGCCGCGGTGTGCTTACGATCCGGAAGGGACCGGTAGAGGTTTCAGCTCGCTGCAGACGGGCGGAGCCAAAACTCGGCCCTTTTGTGCTGCTGCATCTTACGCTGTCGGAGCCGCTCCCGGGCCGCCGTGCGTTTTCAGCCAGAGCTGAGACCACGTCGCGGATTGCGTTCCCGAGCTGATGGGGAACCTGGAGTGTGAACTGTCCCTCTCGCGGGTACCCGCGCCGACACAGTGTGATGGGACTGGGATCCCGATGCGGAGAAACCGGGTTCTTCGGGGTCCTCGTCCCTCGATCCAGGACCTTCTCTGAGAGGTCGCTGCGAGTGCTGAGGCTCAGAATCTGAAATCATGCAAATAATATTAGAAAACTGTAGTAATTTTACAAGTAGAGTTTTGATTGCACTCGTGGGTCTTGAGGATCGTGTCCTGCATCGCAGCGTGAAGAAATCCGATTCGGTAGCTTTGGGTAGGCTCTGGGAGCTTGCACTCAGGAAATGCTTTCCAAATAGTTTCGAAATGGGTGGTTCCCAGACCTCAATTAATGTGAATCCAGTTGTAACCCTTTCCCCATCAAAGCCCCCCGCAAAACGATGAACTATCCAAGCGTTTAAAAATTGTAGGGGAAAAAATGATCCCAAATAACCCTGTTATGTGATTTCTAAAGTAAACCAACAACTCTACCTGTCAATGTGAAATATCAGCAAAGGTAATTGACTAGGCGCTAGCAGAACAAGGTGAACTCTAGGAATCAGGTTTAATTTGGACAGGTGAACAGCAGGTGCTGCGAATAGAAACAAAGACAAACCTTTACTGAAAGTTGTATGCCTGGGGCTTGGCCACCCACCATGACTTGTCTAGTTAAGAATTTAAGATCAGATGACCCTGTGGGGTTACTTTCGATAGAACTCCCCTGTTGGGAGCCGACCAATAGCGGTCCCTGGACACAGTCTGGACATAGTCCGGACAGATGAGATGCATCTGCACAGCGGAGGCAACTGTGGCTGGATTTCCTGTCTATCTCTCCTTGCATGTTTGTCTGCGATTAATAGGTGGTGGGATTTTTAGACACCTGTATTTCAGGTCCAATGATTCACAGAATTCCAAGGAAGTTGTACAAAATGATTTCTTGGCCACAGAACAAAGTCCCCCCTAATGAAGTAGCCCCTGAATGTCTAAAAGTTGATACAGTAACAGCCCTCCTCTACCTTGAACAGAATATTAATTAATAGAATTAGGCAAAGAAGCGGGGGAAACTAGTTAACTATTAAAAACAAAGCACACAGGAACAATTACTAAGGAGTTAGAGTCCAAAGTACAGAAAGATTCTAGACAAGAAGATAAGATAGCTAAGTTAGACATCACAAAGGCCTTGTAATAAATTTTCTATAACTACTGTTCAGTCTAGGGTATCCTTTTGACCCATACCAAATTCTAAGAACTTTAACATCTATTCATCAATAAGACATTTAAAACTGTACATACAGCTATTTCTAATTGATTAATGGCTCTCCTGGTCAAAATACCCTTTGTTTAACATAACTGAATCTATGGAATTTCCTGTACTTTTCCTAGTTACCTCTGTATTGATTTTTTTCTCCTTAACTGATCATGCCATGCACCTGTTCCTTTAATGTTATGTAACAATCTCTATAAAAATAAAGCTTAAATCAAACCCTGCGAGTTCAGTCAGACCCACAGAGGCTGGCTGTTCTCCAGCATCCAATCAGGTATCTGACTTCATCCATCGCCTGCTTCGTCCATCCTTTGGGGACCCTGAGACCTGCTGAGGCTGGACCCTGGCACCCCCCTTTTAGTCCACACGTGAAATACTCCAAATTATTCATCCAGACTTCTGTCGATCATTATTTCAGATTGTTTTCAGGTTCTTATGAACTGCATCACTGAATAAAGACCAAATAGTTTTCTTTTTAAACAAAATAATGTTTGCTAATAAAAGCCAAAAAAAGTAACATATTAAATGGTAATGTTTAAAGTAGAAAGTTTGACTCCCTCTGCAACCTATCCACAGAGATACCAGTGTCATAATCGGGGCATCTCTTAAATGTCTTATTTTAAGTATCATGTACATTTATGTGCACATGTTATACATGTACACGATATACATATTTTCTTAAACAAAAATGGGATCTATACTTGGCTGTATTCTATAACAATACATCATGGGTATCACTACTTGTCAATATGCAAAGATTTATTTCATCTTTTTAACCACTTTTTGTGTTTTATTGTTGATGTGTTAACATTTATTCCACAAACCCCCAATTTATGGAACTTTGTTACTATCAATTTTCTGTTACTATAGATCGGCACTGACAATAAAACACCCGGGCCGCCCCCCCCCCAACTTTTTCATCCGTTCTTTAGGGGGCCTGTTTTTGTCCCTTTCCACGCTGCGCCTTATTTTTTATAATAAAATTTACGGTGTGCAGCTCTGTGCGCAACCATGCAATACAGAGTCTTGTGTATACATCTGGGGGCCTTTGTCTGGCCATTTCCTTCAGAAAATTTCCCGCAAGGGGAACTGCTGAGTAATTTGAAGGGGAATGGAAGGGTATGAATATTTTTTTCTATCAACATGTATTTATTGCTTCATATTGCCAGATTTCTCTCCAAAAAGAGTTACTCAGCCCCGGCTGGTGTAGCTCAGTGGATTGAATGTGGGCTGCGAACAAAAGGGACGCCAGTTTGATTCCCAGTCAGGGTACATGCCTGGGTTGCAGGCCAGGTCCCCAGTGGGGGCCATGTAGGAGGCAACCACACATTGATGTTTCTCTAACTCCCTCCCTTTCCCTGTCTAAAAATAAATAAAATATTTTTTAAATAACAAATAAATAAATAAAGAGTTACTCAATTCACATTTTTAAGATCACAGAGAGAGCTTAGAGCAGGGAACACCTAGTCCAATCTGAAGTTCAAGAGAGACTCCCCAGTCATGGAGGCTGAATCTAGTCGCAGAAAGAGCAGATGAATAAACCGCAGGGAGCCAGGATGTGGCAGGCTGGGGGCTGGGTGGTCACAGTGCCCTGGCTTGTTTGTATCCGAGGTCTCCGACACTAGGCAGCACGGACATATTTAATCTTTGCCAAATAAAATTATCCTTTCCCTTTTTAAACATTTGTCTTTCTTGAGACTTTATTGCTTGTTCTGAGGATAAGGATGCAGACATTTCCATTTTTTACACAACTTTTAACCTACATACTGCAAACCTAAAATATAGTTGTGATTCTTTTTCTAAATAGTTATTCCAGTGACTTTTCAACTTAAAATTTGGAGGCAAATTTTCCTTAATAGAATATCAGTTACCAACATTCGCCCTGGCTGGTGTAGCTCAATGGATTGAGTGGCAGCCTGCAAACCAAAAGTTTGCTGGTTCAATTCCCAGTCAGAACACAAGCCTGGGTTGTGAGCCGAGACCACTGTTGGGGTGTGTGAGAGGCAACCAGTTCATGTATCTGTCACACACTGATGTCTCTCTCTCTCTTTTCCTTCTCCTCTCTCTAAAAGTAAATACATAAAAGCTTAAAAAATAAAGATAAAAAATAGAATATCAGGTACCAATATCTTCAAATGTTGATACTGTTACATCATAGTCTCACTAATTCACTATTTAATATCATATACACAACATAATCTAATTTTCAATCTTTCACAGCACAACTTTATGAGGAAAATTGCACTACCACACCAAAGACATTACAGAGTGCACAAAATTCAGACAGGGAGAACCAAGATCAAGGAGGGGTTTTCTTTAAGAAACAATTCTACCAAAAACATGGGAGTAGAAGTCATTTAAAATGTTCAAGACATATTACATGCAGGACTGACTCCAAATTGCCACTTACTGTGCTTCGTATTATGGGACATCCCCCCACCCCCATCCCCGTCAGTGGAATGTGAAGCTGACACCCAGGACGACCAAAGCCTCCCGTGTTCAATACCCCACTATCTTCTACTTGCACCAAAAAAGTAAACAGCCAACAAATGATTTCACCACTTTAAAAAAAAAAGCACTGACACTTTCACAAAATGGGATGAGGTGGAGTTCCCTCCTTAAAAATTGTCCTTGAGCCCTGGCTAGTATAGCTCAGTGGATTGAGTGCGGGCCTGCGAACCACACGATCGCGGTTCGATTCCCCGTCAGGGTTGCAGGCCAGTCCCCTGCAGGCCAGTTCCCAGCAGGGGACACACAAAAGGCAACCAAACATTGATGTTTCTCTCCCTCTCTCCTTCCCTTCCCCTCTAAAGAAATAAAAAATAAAATCTTAAAAATAAAAAAATAAAATGAAGTTTAAAGTACATTTAAAAAAATTGTCCTTGAACTACTAAAAAACTTACATTTACAAAGTACTGGGTAAAAATATTCCTTTGGATTGCAAAAAACGGGAGGCGGGGACCGCTGATAAGACAAGGTGTATGATGTTAATGAGATCTGGCTTCTTTCTCTCCTGCCTCCTCGAAAGCGGGTCTGTCCTCGGTTTCAGCTTCTCTGTTTTCTGCGGGCCGGTCTTCAGTGCCTCGGTTAGCCACTTCCTCCCGTTTCCCCTTTGCTCTCCTTTCCTATTTGTTTGCACTTTCCTGCCTGCAGGTTACCCTTTCCTGCCACCTTCTTTTTTTTTTTTTTTTTTGGCTCCGTTTCCACTTCTGCAGGAGCTGACACACTCGCCCACCTTCTCCCGGGCTCCTCCTCCGCCGCCCTTTAGGGGAAGCTGGCCTTCCTCTTGGGCAGAGGGGCAGCAACCAGCTGCTCCGCTCCACCTACGCTTGCTTCTATCCAGGGGAAGAATTTTGTATTCCAGTTCCCGGGCTGCAGAAAACGCCAACCATGGCTGCCGGGAGTGCTTCCTCGGAGATGATAGAGCGAGAACGGAAAAAGTTACTGGAAATCCTCCAGCGAGATCTCGATTCTGTCTTAGATTCGCTGAGCTCTCGGAGACTGATTTCCGAGGACGAGTATGAGGCGCTGGAGGACATGACAGACCCCCTGAAGAAAAGTCGAAAGCTGTTGATTTTGGTACAGAAAAAGGGAGAAGTCAGTTGCCAGCATTTTCTCAAATGTTTATTTAGTACTTTCCCCGAGTCGGCGACAACGTGGGGCTTAAGGCACGGTAAGCTGAATCTCTACACTTTTTGAGGAGTGGAAGGGACGAGGCACATTTCCTGAAAAAAAAAAAGAAAGAAAGAAAAACGATCCCTTCTTATTTTCACTTCTTTTTCCCAGAGATAATTTTTCACTGAAATATGATAAAGGGGAAGGGACGAGGATTTTAAAAGCAGGGAACAATGTACCTTACTTCCAGGAATGAGAATTTTTTTGTTGTTGTTGTTTAAACTGCAACCAACATTTGCAGTTGTTTCAGTGCTGGTATAGACTGCTCATTATTAGGACAGATACCCGACATACTCACGGCTGGGCAGAGACTGCTGTGCAGGATGACACATCAGGGATTTCTTTATCAAGTAGGTAGATTCGCAAGTATACACAGTCCCCAAACCTCAAGCTGCAGCTTTCCCTTAGAACAGACATTTGGGAAATGCAGGGAAAACAATCCGTATGCAGGGTGGATTGCTCACTTCATTTTTTTTCTGTGATAAGAATGCCAGCAGAGTCCTGGTTTTTCTGAAGCAATTCTAATGCTAATTTTTCAATGGTCAAAGATAATTAGTGGCCAAGGAAGGAGCAGTTCTTCCAGAATGGATTGTTTAGCAGTTCTGCAGACTACCACCAGGGGCAAGTGCAGCTTCTGCTGTGGAAATCTAGAAAATACGTTGGAGAAGGTAGAGTGACCGATGGAAAGGTTAATGTTAATGGTCCCTAATGTAGAACAAGACCTGTCTGCTTGGAGAAAGGGATCTTATTATTTCTAGGATTTACTATTTTAAATTACAGTGAGTTGCTTGCTGATTAGAAATGATTAGGATCGGACTTTATTAGCAATGTTCCTAAGAATGCCGAGCTGGTTTGGGGTCACGGTAAATCCACAAGTAAATGCTGTTCATAAGATTTAATTTTTTTTCTCACTCACTCGACACTTGTCTTTGCTATGAAAGACTTGGAATTTTGAGCAAGGCAGGAGTGTGGTCTGTTTTTTCCCCTCAGTGGGAAAAGAAGGTTCTGACAGTTGACTCACTACCACTTATGTTGGAGGTGGTAGGTATCTCTACCTTCCAACAAATTAAAGAAGAGAGATCATGCTCGGAAACTCGAGTAAACATAAAATTTCTTTTTTTGTTAATTTGAAAAACAAAATAAAAACCCTAAAACTGTCTTGTTCTTTTTCAGAATTTTCACAACATGAGAACACAGAACCTCTTGAATCTATGGGTATGAGCAAGAGTTCAGAAGAGCCCCTTTCCCGGGGAGAAAAACAGCCTGAGAATTCTGAGCCCACAGTGCCCTGCACAGATAAAGAACACCTGGACTTGGAAACCTCTGAGACATTCCTGGACAAGAAAACCAGTTATGGGGGAACGGCTTGGCCCTGGAGGGCAGGTGACAAGGACGGCCACATCCCAGCAGTCCCACTGCCACGCTCAGGAGAGGAGGTCCACTATGAAGTTTCAGAAGCTGTTTATCACTTACAGGATGGACAGAGATACGATGAGATCGATGACTCTCTGTACTTAGGAGAGGAGGACTATCTGGAATCAGTTATGTGCTCTGAAGATGCAGACAGCGCTGTGGAAAAAGAGGACCCTAGTGACCCAGAGCACCTGGTCTATGCCGGCGAACAGGAGCCTGTGTATTTAGAAACCACGGAGTTCTCCCTCGAGGAACAGAGTGGTGGGGGTTCAGAAATGGGCCTGTCGTTGGAGGAGGAGAAGGAGGAGAGGATGGAAGGTATGGGGATGTTAGGGGACCATTAGGAGGGGGGAGGAGGAAGGGCCCCAGATGTCAGCGTCTCAGAAGTTCCCTGTATCCTGTAAGTAGACTGTCCTCAGAGGTGGGGTGCTGCTGGGAGGAGACCCAGGACACTGCACAGGATAAGGAAAAGTAAATATTGGTGGCAGCAGATGGTTGCCACGGTCACCCCCAATACGAGTATAAGAAGTTGCTAGCCACTTATTTTGGGCATTACCTTCCGGTCCTTAAATTAAGTTTCATTAGGCGTTTGAGTGCCTTTGTAACCAAGGGAATATGGTGATCACGGGCCTGTTGAAATGAAAGCAGGAGAGGAGTTTGTGGTGAGTGAAGAAAATTCCCAAGTACTCTCCCTTGCCTCAATCCAATCTACCGTATATTGCCATCTCGATGAAGAAAACTATATTAGGCTCTTCAATTAGAGTAGTTTTTCCTTTTAAAAATGTATTTATTTATTTTTAGTGATTTTATTGGAGTGACATTGGTTAATAAAATTATATAGGTTTCAGGGGTACAGTTCTGTAATACATCATGTGTATATTGTATTGTGTGTTCACCACCCCAAGTCAAAGTTTCCCTCCATCACCGTTTATCCCCCTTTTACCCTCTTCTCCCTCCCCCACTTCCCCTTCCCTTCTGGCAATGACCACACTGTTGTCTGTCTGTAAGGTTAGGTTTAGGTTTTGTTTTTTGCTTAATCCCTTCACCTCATTCCCTGTGACAGCTGTCAGTGAAGGACTTCGAATTTGAAAGTGACATTCACGGAGTTATCTTCTTTCCTACAGAAAGAAGAAGGGTGTTTAAAGATGTCCTGTCGTGTTTGAACTTGGACAGGAGCAGAAAGCTGTGGCCGGATGTTGTGAGACAATTCTCCCTGGATCGAGGGTGTAAGTGGACCCCCGAGACTCCGGGAGACTTGGCCTGGAATTTCCTGATGAAAGTTCAAGCCCTGGATGTGACGGCTCGAGACTCCGTCCTTAGACAGGACGCCCTGCACGCGGAGAGCGGAGGGGAATGGCCGGCTGGCGTGGAGAAGGCGGCAATCAGAGACGTCCGCGCCGTCCACCCCCTGGACGTGCTCTGCGCCTCCGTGCTGTGCTCGGACAGCGCTTTGCAGCGCCAAGTCCTGGCGAGCATGTACCGATGCCGGTTCGCTCTTCCCCTGCTGCTGCCGGATGCGGAGAACAACAGAAGCATTTTAATGCTGGGAGCCATGAGGGACGTGGTGAAGGAGCAGCCAGCACGGGCTTTAGGAGGGCCTGCAGGGGAAACGGAAAAGTTTCTGATGCGCATGAAGATGCCCGTCATCTCTTTTGTGCGTCTCGGAGACTGTAGCATCTCCAAGTCCAGAATCCTCAACGCGCTGCTCAGGCCTGACCCCCAGAAATCACGCAAAATCTTCCTCCACCGAGACGGGGCGTTGCCAGGGTCTCCCCGGCAGATCTCGGAGGGCCTGGTGGAGATCGCCTGGTGTTTTCCCGATGGCGACAGTCTGATGGAGAACGCGCACCTTTTCCAAGAGCCCGTTGCCGTGACCAACCTTCGTGGAGATATCGAAAGGTTTTGGTTGCAATTTGGCTTCTTGATGGAGGTTTCCTCGGCTGTGTTTTTTTTCACTGACTGCCTAGGTGAAAAGGAATGGGACCTGCTCATGTTTTTAGGAGAAGCTGCCATTGAGAGATGCTATTTTGTCCTCAGTTCCCAGGCCAGGGAAAGTGAAGAGGCTCAGATGTTCCAGACGATTCTGAATTTGAGGCCATCACAGCTACTGTTCTGGGAGGAGGAGGAAGCTGGGGAGACAGAGGGGAACATGGAGAGCCTCCAAGCTGCCCTCCGAGAGGTGACGTCCTCCTCCCTCCGACGCCTGTCGGTGGAGGACATGGGCCCCCTGGCCAGGGAGCTGGGGATCCAGGTCGACCAGGACCTTGAGAACGTTGAAGGAACTCGAGTTCCTCCTAGTGAAGACAGGGCTGGAACCGTTGAAGATGAGGGGCCACAGAGACACAGGCAGCCAGAAAGTTCATCCAAAAGCACAGCCGAGCTGCCAGTGAAAGAGCCCGGAGCTGGAGGGGAAGTCAGCCCGGCTCCTCAGGGTGGCCACCTCAGCCCAGGAGTCAGGCCTCACCCGCAGAACTCCTGCTTTTTCCCAATCATGATTGGGGGACACTTCAACCATGTTCCTTTGAGAGCCCCCTGGGTTATGGGCTCCCGCTTTGGGTCAAGGCAGAAGTCCAGGTGGTTCTATCCTTCAACCTTTCAGAATTCATGGGTCCACAGTCAAGGCAGAAGTTTTGGAGTCCAGCACTTCCAACCCCTGAGATTTTGTTCAGGTGGAAGGCTTATAAAATTTTCGAGACCTCCTCGTGGACATCCCATGCGTGGACTATTTGGGAGACCACTAAGACCTGGTAGTCAGTGTGTACAGGCCCGGCCTCGAAGACCACAGGCCACGGGAGCTTGCGAAAGGCCTGCCATAATAATGGCCTCTCAGATACGTCCCCCCCATCCCCTGGGTTCACGGCCAGAAGGACCATTGGGGAAGCTACAGCCCAAGCAAGCCCACCTCCGGGCAGCACAGCCAGCTGAGGCCACTGGAAAACTCATGAGAACACCATTTCATACTGTGGATCCTCACTCTCAAGTCTGTCAACCTGCAGGAGTCATGCAAAGGCCCGTAAGGCCCACCTTTCAGCAAGGATTCAAGCCAAAGACCCAAGGGGGACCTTTAAATCCAGCCGTCCAAATGGGATCCCACCCCACATCCAGCAACAAATTTTTACCTGGTTCTCCATTCAGTCAGCCCAAGCCATCCCAGTACAAGCACCCCCAGCCCAAACCTTCCCAACCTACATCCTCTCAACCCAAACCCACTCAGACAAAACCCCCTCAGCCCCAGCCCTCCCAAGCCAAATCCTCTCCATCCAGACCCGCTCAGTCCCAGCCACGCCAGCCCCAGCCCTCCCAAGCCAAATCCTCTCCATCCAGACCCACTCAGTCCCAGCCACGCCAGCCCCAGTCCTCCCAGCCTAGGCCTCAGCCCAGACCCACTCAGCCCAGGTCATCGCAAGCCAGTCACTCACAGGCTAAGACATCCTACGCAAGAGCCGGGCCCCGGAGGGGCGGGAAGCACTGAGGTGCTCACTCCAGAGACCTGTGAAACTACCTTTCCCCGGGCCATTCCAATCCCACGGCAGCGACCCGAGGAAGAGCGGTACTGACTGTAGACACTGCTGTCCTTAGCGAGACACAGAAAAACAGACGTGCGCAGCCTGCTTGGACGTCACTAAACTATCTGTAAGAACTGTGTCCCTGACAAAGAGGGAAAACTACGAAAAGAACAAGGACTAGAACCAAGCAGTGAATAATAAATTAATTGAATCCAGCTTTGAGTCCTGGGTAACAGATCCCCTGCATCCAGGGCGTGGGGACTGTGAGGCAGCCCCACTTGGGGAAAAATGGAGTTGGGGTCTCGAACTGCAAAGTGATCACCAGGACCCAGGTTGTCTCACTGTTGCCAATACAATTGCCTTAATTGTTGGCTGCTCTAGAGGTGTCCTAGTCAAACTTTCTCCTTTAACATTGGCTGCTAAGCAGATAACCCTGTTTGTCTGGGTTACTCAATTTGCCTCTAGTTACAGCCTCAATTTTCTTGGATAATAAAACTCTCTCATTTGATCCTTACATATGGAAATAATGACCTATCAACCAATAAAATTCATTATTTTTATCAACTTTATGTGTGTGATTCATATTTTAAATAATTATAGTAAGTAAGATAATTTAGCTCATTCTTAGCTAAAGAATTAAGATCTGTTTACAAAGCTGGGAAAAACATTGAAATGTTTAAAAGAACTTACGATTCACAGATTTTACCACTTTAATTTATTAGATTTATTTTTGTCCTAAACATTCTGCTAAGTTCTGCTAGTTTGAAGCATTAAATAAAATTTTATACTATATTAATTTAAAATATTTATGTGAAGTTTTAAATGACGCCAAATATTTTTTAAAGATTTTATTTATCTATCTCTAGAGAGGGAGGGAATGAGAAAGAGAGGGAGAGAAACACTGATGTAAGAAACATCACTTGGTTGCCTCTCGGGCGCCCCCAACTGGGGGCCTGGCCCACAACCCAGGCATGTGCCCTGACCAGGAATTGAACCAGGGACCTCCACTTTGCAGGACAACACTCAACCAACTGAGCCACTCTGGTCAGGGCATGATCCCAAATATTCATAAAAGACCACTTTAAAGGTAAATGTTAAAAATTTTATTAAATAAAAGTAAAATAATAAGATTATAGGAGTCTCAGTTTTTGAATTTGTAACTTTTATAAAAGTAATAGTAATTTTAAGTGCTAAAATACCCCCAAGTTGTCCTTTCTGAGTAAAAAAAAATGCCTTGAAGGACTTACAAAAAATTATATTGACAAGTCAATGAGAAACGATCTTTGGAAAAGAGTAATCAATCTCTGAGGACATTCTGACACTACAGTAGGGACCCTTCATTTGTTTGTGCGCATATTAAACAATCAATACTGAGTATTCAGAGGGTGTTCCATCCCTCTGGAGGTAACAGTAAAGGTTAAAGAAAGAAAAAGAGGACTAAACATGTGAATCTTGATCTTTGGCAGGAGAAAAAACATACTATTTCCTAAGTATGAAATCTTTGGTGTACAAGTGGTGTCTCTTGAATGAAAGTAATACTTCTGTTGTTTAAAATACATCAATAGTATGATGTATTTTAATTTTAACTTTAAAAAAGTTTTTAAAGAGAGGGGAAGGGAGGGAGAAAGAGAGAGAGAGAAACATGGATGTGAGAGAGGAACATCAGCTGGTTGCCTCTTGAGAGAGGGGAAGGGAGGGAGAAAGAGAGAGAGAGAAACATGGATGTGAGAGAGGAACATCAGCTGGTTGCCTCTTGTATGGCCAGGACCGAACCCATAACCCAGGCATGTGCTCTGACCGAGAATGGAACCAGCGGCCCTTCGCTTTGTGGGATGATGCCTGGCCAACTGAGCCACAACAGTCAGGGCTGGTGTGACGTTTTTCTAAGTTTTCCTCTGTATCCTTCAAGAATAGCTCCTGAAGGATAGACCTTGTCAAGTTATTGTCACCGGCAGATTTGGTATCTCACTGGGTCTTGACAATACCTATGTGGTGCATTGAATTTGGACAATTTGAGAAGAGTTTAATAAAGGGACTATCTATAAAACACGGAGCAAGATGTAAAAACAGCACAAAGGAGACCATGATACACTGGATATAGTAAAAGCGAAGGCTTATCACCACTCCAGGGTCTGACGAGGAGGGAGCGGTGCTTTCTCCCATGAGAACTGCTGCGTGGAAAGGGTCTGGGGTCTGCCGGGTTGAGGGATACAGCAGGTTGCAGTGACCTGCAGGGAGGCATCCCAGGGAGTAAATATCCACTCCTCACCTCCGAAATGCCAGTGTGTCCCTTTGGCGAAATTCAACTCAAAACCGGAGAACAAGAAGCTCATCTGGGCAGCTGACGCAGGGCAGCCTTTTAGGGTTCAGAGCAGGTTGGAGGGTGAGAGGCAAACAGAAGACACCCAGCAGACTCCTCTGTTTCTATTCCATTCTTCCATTTCTCTTCTTCCTTTCTTCCTTTAGTCATCTTTATTTATTGAGCATCTATTATGTGCAAGGCATTAGATTAGAATCTTAGAAGACATGTCTTCTAAGGAAGCAAGAGACATCCTTCTCCAGTTGTGCAATCCTAAAACTGTTTCCTCTTTATCGTAAAACTATAAGCTCATTATACGTAGTTTTGAAAATGCAGACCTACACAAAGAAGAAAGGAACATAAAAATAATCAGTAATCTCATAACTCAGAGTCACTAGTGATGTAGTCCTCTAGCTCACTAACGATACCTTTATGTATTTTTCCAATGTGTGTATATGTACAGTCAGCACTGAATCACATTTTCAAGTCTGTGCCAGGGCCAGGCGTGGCCAAGCCAAACCCAGTGTTGGGGGCAGGCAGCACGAATGGCATGAATGATTGGTTTTCCAGACGTCTTCAGAAGATCTGAAGTCAGGACGTGAACACAATTTAAGGATGTCATTGTATAGTGCACAGGTCCGCTTAATCAAATGTGCAAAAATTTAGAATTGCTTGTTTATATTCGTTATTTACAAAACTGAGAACATTTCATTTGGACTTGACTTCTTTTGCAACAACAGAATGAAGAATCTGCCTGATGATTTACCTTTTCAACACCTGAAAATTCTTTCTTAAACACCTTAAACCAATTTATAGTTTGTACAAGAAAGTGAATAAAAATTACTTTTTTTAATTGTTCAAAAAAGTTTCTTCTTTGTTGACAATAAATCATATGAGCTCACATCCCCTTGGCTCAAACGTGGTCACTTCACCACGTGCAGTTACAAAGCAGTCTGGGAAATGTAGTCACCAGCTGAGTGGTCACACATCCAGAGAGAAGGGGGCAGGCAGCAGTTTGCCATAATGTCACAGCTTATCAACACCTTCAGAAGCCCGGAAGAGGAAGATAAAGTCACCAAATTGCACCCTTAGATGTTCAGCCCTACTGCGTTTATTTGTTGATAATGTTGCGTTTATTATAGAATACAAACTATTTTAGTGACGAGGTGGGGTGATTGTCGCCTGACTGGAAGAGAGGCTTTTGAACAACATTGCGATGAAAGATTTTAGAGTGTGTACTCTTCTAAATGAAACACGGTTGCTGCTGGGCTGCTGGACCGCCTTCCCCCGCCCCTCAGTTACACAGGAGGGCTTGAAGTTTTCCGTTAGTCTGTAATGGAAACATAACTGCACCGTTCCCTAACTCGAGGTGGTGACATTTTTTTTACACATTTTGGGCAAGTCTTCTTAAATGTTAATGCAGTGTGTTTTTGTAATTTGTGTGTGCGCAAATCCCACCTGAGGTGGTTGTGAAGCTGTGTGTTGTTGGAATTCCCCATAGACACTCCGAAGGGGGGGGCGGAGTTCAGAAGCAAACCGGAGGAATAGCCTCTGAGCAGGAACTCCCACGAGATAGAAAATCCCGGGGCACATTCTGAAAAACTCAGGTGCAGCCTGGTCTGCAAACCTGTTTTCCAGCGCTCCGCTCCGAGAAAGACTTTTCTTCTGAGCCAGAAACCCAGGCTGCGAAGGGTTCCCTGCATTACCGTTCTCACTAAACCCATTCATCACCTCCTGCTGGACAAAGGGCTGGTGTGGTGAGGTGACAATGTGGCAAACACTTTCATCCACTTAAGATTAGGGCTGTTCTGCCTACAGATTTTTGTACTAATGCTTCTCATTTTGTCTGCAAGTTTTGTACCTGATAACATTGAAAAGACATCCTTTCATTTTTCATAATGTGCTTCTTTTTCTTTGCTCCACGGCTAAGGCTTGAGTATGTCCTCAAGCCTCCACCCTGAAAGGGTCAGGCCAGGTCCCCACCCCTCACACTGCTCAGGACCCAGTCAAGCCAATTTCCACCCCATGGACTGACAGCCCACCACTCAGTTGTCCCGACTGCTCCGTTGGAACTCACTCCCACCTTGCACAAGACACCTGACGCCAGCCACGGTGGCCGGGGGCCAGACTGACTCTCCCGCGCCTGGGAACAGCCCTCCTTTTACCTAACCCACAGTCCCAGCTCACATCCTGGAACCCTGAGGCGCTTGCCTGGAAGAACAAGAGACTAGCCCCTCCCTTATCCCCCCACAAACCCCTCACCTCCAATATTTAAAGTCTGCTACGCCTCCCATAGTGGGTGGGAGAAGGGACAACGTAAGGGAGGAGGTAATACCCCCCTGCAAAGCACATCGGTTAAAACTACAGATAGCATCCCGTCACACCAGTGGGCTGAGGTGTGGGGACAGAGGGGCCAGAGCAGCGTGAGGAAGGGCTGCGGCAAGGGGCAGGTGGAGGAATTGCAAGGAGAGAGGGTGGGAGGGGAGGAAGGGCCGAGAGGGGTGCGGTGGGCTGGTGTGTTCCCAGAGGACAGCAGACTGTCCTAGGCACTGGGTCAAACTGGAACCAATTCCCTAACTTGTGGACTAGACCTACTTTTGATGCTTTTATGATAAAAAGTGAGATGGAAATTTCAGAAACTTAGATAGATCTGTCAAAGGATTATTCTGTGCGCTCCGTCCTCTGCCCAAATTGTATTTAAAGTTATCCAAATATGACTCGGATAGTTTCAGTCTTGGGCAGGCGTGGGCGTGGCCTCTGGCGGCTTCCTTTCACCCCAGATCCTGCTGTGAAGATGCAGGCGGCCCCCCGCCCCCCGCCGGGCTGTCCCGGGGTCCATTCAGTGCAGAGTTCCAGAAACCGCACTCTGGGCGGGCTGCTCTCGGCCAGTGCCTGAGCGTGCGGGGCACGGAAGCGGGGCCAGGCCTTCCCAGGAGGGGCCTCCACCGGGCAGTCTGCGCTCTGGGGCTCCTCGTGGGTCTGACCCTTCATCCCCAGCCCTGGTCCGGTCTCCGTTCCCTTCCCAGGTGTCAGACTTGAGGCTCTGTGAGCTCTCCCCACCCATCCCAGCTCCCTCCTCCCTTTAGGCTTCACAGACCTTGCCTGCCCTTGAACTCTATCTCAGCATCTGCTTCCTGGAGGACCTGCGCTGGCACAACTTCTTTGTGAAAAATGTTTCTTTTACCGACGTCTGCGTAGTCTTGACAGCGACGCGACTCCCCCCACCCAGCGCTTT